TTTCAACCAAATTTCTGAGAGAAAAACAAGCTTCCAATGAGCTGCTAGACAAATGGATCATCACCAAGGACTTGCCTGGCGAGGTATGAAATTAATATAATTTATTTGAATTTTGAATCTTTTTATTTATTCTAACAGAATTATATATCCTGTTTACGGCATGATATATACATATCAGAGAAAAATCAATGGGATCGATGCCATTCGATGAGGGGCACGAATTAAAGAATATTATAAAGCATTTTACAACTGTGATTTTTTTCTTAAATTAGCTTTATATCCACAAACATATAAATGAGAATGAGAATGAGAATGAGAATATTATTTTTCGTTTGGATACATACAAAAAAGAATAAGTTTCTAAAAAGAAAGGGCCAATAAACAGGTGGGGTACGCACTGGAAGTTCCATGGTATGCGAGCTTACCTCGACTGGAGACGCGATTCTTCATCGAGCAGTATGGTGGCCGAGATGACGTCTGGATTGGCAAGACTCTATACAGGTATATTATAGTTTTCACATTTTCTTTTTGACGAAGATATACTCTAAATTACTCGAGTATACGAGGAGAGGGATTGAATTCGGGTGCAAGGAGTCACGGGTTTTTAAATTCTGACATTCTGTCCTATATTAATGTTGAACTTTGTTTCTAACGATTGTTTGCTTTAGGATGCCCTACGTAAACAATAATGCCTACCTCGAGCTGGCAAAACTTGACTACAACAATTGCCAAGCACTGCATCTGATCGAATGGGACAACATTCAAAAGTAAACAAAACAAAACCCTCAATTTATTATTCACTTTTATAATGATATAAAATTTTAAAAATCTTTTTTTGGAACTATACTTATGTATTATACGTACGTACGCAGGTGGTACGCAGAATGTAGACTTGAAGACTACGGATTGAGCAGAAGAAGCCTCCTCATGGCTTATTTTGTTGCTGCATCAAGTATTTTTGAACCAGAAAGAGCAAACGAGAGAGTTGCATGGGCTAAAACGACATGCTTGATTGAAACGGTCGGGTGTCATTTCAAGGAAGAAACTTATGAGCAGAGGGGGGCCTTTGTACATGAATTCAGAACTAGGTACGTACGTTAAAACTGCAACAAAGAATAACTATTGTTGTTTGTTTGTTTGATCTTTTCTCTCTCTCTCTCGGTGTCTGTCTTATTCACCGGCCTCTGTCAGAGACATTTGTGCTAATAATGCAACTAGGTACATCAGTAGGGTACCCTACAATACTTTATTCTAGGTAAACAAAGACAATTTAATTTCGAAATGTCAGTTCATGTGTCATGAGCGCACCAAATAATCAGCCACCACAGTGGAAGTTCCAAGATTTCAGAGATCTAATAATAGTAGGAATAAGCACAACATCCATGTTACCAATTAAGGCATAGTGCGGTGGTTCTCTAAGGAAAAACTATCGTGTGGTACTGAAATACCGTGTCACGTGTTATGATATAAATAGACATATTTATAGTTGTGGGTATAATATTCATTAATATGCAGTTGGCGTGTTATATATATATAATATGACTGGATTAGTTAGATACATCACATGGCGGTGTTATAGTTCTACCGACATTCGAAAGAGGCAATTACATGTGCTTTGTGTTGCAGGAAGATGAATACAAACAAGAAAAGGCAAGGACTTATTGAGACCTTGATGGCAACTCTACACCACTTCTCATTGGACGCAATGGTGGCTCATGGTCATGACATTAGCCACCCTCTACGCCAAGCTGTGAGTTTCTTTTCTACCACACAAGTCCCATTTTTATTTTCTGTTTTTTATGTTTCCATTGGCTGCCCAGTTAAAAGTACTAATCCCAATACTTATAACTTGGTGTTTTCTGTTTTTCTTCTTAATTAAATATAAAGTGGGAAAAGTGGCTTACGAAGTGGCAAGAGAAAGGGGACATGCACCAAGATGAAGCTGAGCTACTGGTGGAAACGATAAATCAGACCGCTGGCTTTTCAATCCCAGAAGGGTTGTTGTTGTCCAATCCAGAGCATGAGCAACTTTTTAGCATCACTAACAGTGTTTGCAATAAACTACACTCCTACCAAAACCAAAAGCACAAGGTTAGATAAATTCAAACGACATGTCACATATTCCACTAATTTAACTATACTCAATGGGGCAGTGATTGATAGATCCTTTTCTTTTTTATTTTCTCAGGTAAATGAAAATGGGAGTTGTACCATGAAAATCCAAGAAATAGAATCAGAAATGCAACAACTTGTGAAAATGATGCTCGAAAACCCTTCGGACGACATACACTCTTCGATCAAGCAAACCTTTTTCGTGGTCGCGAGGAGCTTTTACTATTCTGCCTACTATGATCCTGGAACCATTAACAACCACCTTACCAAAGTGTTCTTCGAGCGAGTAATCTGATATTTGCGTATAGGATTAGCCACAGTGCCTCATTTTAGTGATGGCAGATGTACTCAGCTCAACCCAAAAGAAAGAGAGGAAAAAAAATTAGACATTGCAAATGGTCATTGTTTTTGTTTAGTGTTAAATATAAATATCCTCCAAAAAAGTAGAGTGTTTTTGGGAAACAGAGACTTGCTTTCTGGGTTTAATTTGTGGAGCAAAATCCTGCATTATGCAGAGCCTGATCAGTAATAAGTACAAATTATACAGCAGATATAAGTAAACAAGGACAAAGGCACAAAACACAAAAGGTGATGATTGACATGTCAAATGAGTGAACCATAGCTGTTTGCTTATCATGCCCCTGTAGCAAACGAGATGAAAATAATATTTCTACAGCATTTGAAAAATGAAAAATATCACAAGGAAGATTATTTCTGCACTTCCTAAACCTGCATTTTGGTCTAGCAGAAGTTTTATTTCAACCAAATAAAACCTCTGGCGAAAAATAATCATAATCAGTGAGTATATACTGTTCACTGTTCAAGCACGAGCATAATTCCAATCTAAACATGGAAAAGAAGTGGAGATATTAGAAGAGATGTTCTATCAGAAGAAAAACAAACCCTAAAGCAAGGGTTACTATTACTGTGAAAAGGTCCAATCTCAATGAGGACCAGACATAGCTAGGGTTGTTTGCACAAATATTGGTAGTGGGTACATTTACATAGAGTTGCTTTGTAAGGAAATGTGATGTCTTTCAAATATGCTGGCCTGATGGTTTCCTCCTTTGTGTTAGCAGATTTAACAATGGCAGACAATTTTTTGGATACAAAGCCATGAAAAGTTTCCTGGATTGGTCTTCCATCCGAAGTGAAAATTCACCCAATCCCACATCTTCAGATCTGTTATCAGAAGAAAAAAGAAAGTGACCCTATTTGGTTTTCTTTCTTTTTCCTTTTCTGTTTTGCCTGCCTAATACAAGAGCAAAACCCTAACCCTAAGCTTAACTAGGAGGCAATCAGAAGAGAGAGGTGATTTAGTCTTGGTTACAACAGAAACCTGTCACTCATGCACCTCTAAATGGCAGGCATATTTTATTCCCACATCAAAAAGAGAGGTCCCATGAAATGCAAATGCAGGGTGGGTCAACCAAAGCATTTACATGGTCGGCATAATGATGTCCCTCCTGCACGGTTAGTTGAATCATGAAAATGGTGTAAAAAAAAAGCAGTTTTTGTTGTTGGGTTTTGGGTGTTGATGCAAAAAAGCATTTGACGGTACTTCGGATTGGGATGTGGAGGTGGAAGTGTGATCTGATCTGATGCCCCATGACAGAGAGTGTGGCATATCAAAGCCAAAAGGAATATGACTCTGTGTTTTTGGACAGTAACCCATTTTGGCAAAAGTGCTTCCACCCCGAAATCTCCATCACTGCTTTCTCTCACTTTGATGTTTGGTTCAATTTTGGCATCACGAGAGGGCACGTGAGGCAATCCATCATTGCTTATTTGTTGTGCATGTGGCGAACAAAGAAGCAATCCAGCTTTCCCCACCCACCTCCCTCATATTGGCGGGGGCCGCCCGCACCCTAAACAAAAATTTCAACTTATACAAAAGTTTTTTGTTTTGAGCACTCGGGCTAAAACTGAAAATGCAAGATCTCGGATGCAAGGGCGAACGCTCGAGTCATCTAAGACATTTACAAGATATGGTTTACAAAGCACATGTATGTAATAGGACTCATCTAGGTTTATATCATGAAGAAATTCATTTACTTTATTGTTTTTCTAAGAATGTGAGTGAAATAAAGAGGGTTCTTAGGCGTTTTGCTAGGAATATTGACCCACTTAATTTAGGAAGGGGGTCGCAAATTTGTATTTGACCGGGCAAGACAAGAGATTCTCATTTGGGCCAACTTCGATTTTGAGCCTTCTAATCTATACGACTTTGTGCCCAATAGTACAACTCTCACTGCAGCCCACCCCTTGACCTCTCGATGGAGTTCAAGGAGTCATTCTATAATGCGAGCCTTATCTAAGGCCTTTAGTTGAGGTCTTACCTCTTAATTTGATCAAATGATTAAGAGATATGACCTCATTTAAGAGAGGCCCTCACTATAAAATTCTTTGGACTTCGAGTGTAATTTTTGATGAATTTGGAGAACTTTTAATTCTTTCCTTTTTTGAAGTTAAATTTGGAGATTGCTTGCGCAACCAGCAACTAAGAATGCCACACGTTTTTAAATAGCTTGAAATGAGAGATCTTGAAAACCTCATCACTGTTATTTTCACATGCTTCAATTACAAGCTTACGCAGAGGGATTTTGTTGGCTTTTTCTGAAAGGTGATTTCAAAACCTTTTGAACCGGCAAAAAGCAACACATCTCGCAGGAGACATAACAAGGATAACAGAGTGAGATGATACGAACTTCTTAATAAACCCACTGTGTTTTAGTGTCATATTCATGAGCAGCGCACTTAGACAGAGTTTCACATGAGAATTTAAAAGCAGTTTATAGGACCTAGCTTCCTGAACTTCAAAAACCCATAAGCACAAGGTAATACATCATCATCGCACTTAGTAGGAAGAAATTCCATAGAAATCAGATTTAGTCATACTCTAATTCATCAGGAGTAACCGGCCGTTTGAGGGGTATGATTGACTTCTTTTCAACGTCCCGAGATAATGCTTTCCTCATATCTGAAGCAAGAACAAACACAATAGAAAAGTGAGACGGAAAACATTTTTACATAATGTTAGTTTGGATGGGGAAACTCACCTAACCCATCTTCCTCCCCTGAATAATACCGTAGGACTCGTCTATAGATCACGTAACCAAGCTGTGGGGAAAAAAATGGAAAAGAAAATGAAATAGATAGTGAGCATGACTCATCCCATTCGAAATTGCGGAAATATCCAAGTTGGGATCTATGTCTGGCTCGCACAAACCAGGAATCACATAGAAGCAACAAATCATATAATTAAGCTCTTCCCAACCGGACGCATTTGATTCATAAAATTGAAATGATTTTCAGTTTAAAACTGAACTTCTATTTGGAGTTCTCAAAAAGAGCCAAATGATCCTTTTCATTCTGTACAAGAAAGCAAGCCTTTTTCATGTAAAAGTAAGAAATGGATAGTATGCTACAAATAAATGGAACCTAATTTCTGGTCATTTCAATATTGGCTGATAATACAATGCAAAGAATATCTACAGTTACAAGAAACATTACCTTTTCATACATCTTTATGGCTGGTGTGTTTGATGCTCTCACAAAAAGATCAACAAAGTAACCCTTATCACTGCCAAACCAAAGTTTTTATTAACAAAGGTGAGGCATATACAACAAACACATAGAAATTATATGACTCAGTAAGACTTCATTTTGCTCTCAACCTAAAAACTGATTTACAAGACAAATGCAGCCCACAAAAAGACTCCACAGATTGGAGGGAAATGAATCCTCATTATGGTAAGAAAGAATAGTATGACAAGAAGAAAACTCCAGTTGCATTGGCCCTAGGTGCAGGTGGAAAATGTGTAGAGAGTGGTCTGATAGGTCTTAGGATCATTTCACCAATCAACATATGTCTAAGTGTGTCAAGAAATTCAGACCCAAAAAAAAGTGTGTCAAGAAAAACAATTATCAGATTTTCCATTATTGTAACATAATGATCTGCAAAAAGATGGCCAAGTTTCTATTTCCAGCAAACAAAACTATTGAAATGTGCATTGACAGTTAAATCTTAATCAATATATGCCCCTCTTACATCTTATCACTAAAGTCTTCCAGCAAGTTCATGAGTTTCTTGGCCAATTGCTGCCTGCGATATTCTGGCGCAACAGTTACTGCAGTTACATGACCATGCCATGACTCACCTTGCCCTTCAACCTTTCCCATAACTGCCATCATATCAGAATCAGATACCCATTTATGGCATCTATCATGACTAAAAGAAAGCTGGGAAGAAAAATAAAAACAGATGGCAAGCATATTAGCATCAAGAGGACAGCCAAGACGTAGTGAACCTCTCATATCCCTCACTAACACCTCATCCTTTAACCATTTTCAGGAACAAACTGGTCATGCAAACAAATCCTAGACATCCAAGAAAACCTCTGCATGTATTTTATTCTTAGCACCCCCTACATTAAACAATAAGAGCCCATTTTTTAATCTGAAATCTCTCCTCCCACAATCTCCTTGCAACATATTGTCTTTAACTGTCCAATTCTACTAATTCCATTGTTCCAAGCAAACAACTTTATACCAATGGTGACACAATAAAATTAGTAATTTTACGAAAGAGAAACCAAATGGCAGCAGCATACCAAATAAAATGCTAAGGGCCCGTTTGATAACCATTTCAATTTTGGTTTTAGTTTTCATTTTTTGTGCTAGCATACAGAGGACAATGAGAGTGAGAATGGAAGTGAAGATGAGATTGAAAAAGAGGATGAGAGGGAGAAGTAACAAAAGTGAAAACAATTTCAAATAGACTTCAGTTTTTAGTTTTTGTTTTCACTTTTGTTACTCCTCCCTCCCATCCTCTCCTCTCATATTCTCTCTCAATCCCATCTCCACTTTCATTCTCACTTCCATTCTCCCTCTTTTTCCTTTATAATCTAGCACAAAAAATGAAAACTAAAAACTAAATAGAAATGGTTATCAAACGGGCCCTAAGTTAAGCATAATGTTCTTTTCACCCCAAGCTAGCATAGAAGGAAAAGCTTATTCCCAACATCTTCTTCACCCTCCATTTTATATTCACAATTGAAAAGTTTCAACCCGAAAGAAATGAGCTTTCAAGATACAATTTGTAATATAACAACTAATAGAATACAAGAGACTGGGGATGCTTACTGTAACCCATGATTCGGTGTCCCGGGGCTTCGGCAACATGAAAATAGTCGGGCCATCTTGCTAAATAGGTCATATAAAATGACATATTGAACTGCAGATAACAGATTATTAGAATAATCTACAAAAAAAAAATCAGCAAATTTGAGGAAGAAAAGGAAAGCAAATTGGACAAGGAAAAAAAAAGCAAATTTGAGAGGGAGAAGGCAACAACTTACAGTTTCAGTGAGGTGGTCAAGATTGACAGAGGTAAAACGAAGAAGATCATTGCAGCAAAATCTGCGAATCGTAGTCATCTCTCTTCTCCTCTCTCTCTCTCTCTCTCTCTCTCTCTCTTTCTCGCGAAACCTCAAAGTCTCGAAAAAATTCGACCCGTCCTTTTCTTTGTCAAAATTCGGGTCGGTTTCACCGCCTTAAGATCCCGTACCCGACTAATTAGCTTCCTCATAGACCCGGACCCGAAAACCCGACGTGGCTATTTCGGATTGAGCTCCATTAACCCACACCACAAAGTATTTTATCATTTCTCGATCTAATTAATTCAAGAGTATTGATTTATCTTCTTCTTCCCCAAAATTGAGAGCGATTGAAACCCTAGATGGACCTGCTAAAGCAAGAGATCCTTAAGAAACGGCAGAGACTTGCCGAAGAGACCGGCGGCAAGCGAGTCTTCAAGCGCTCCGAGATCGAACAAAAGCAAATCCAGAAGCTTCGGGAACAAGAGAAGCGCGAATTAGAAGCCAAAGCCCAGCGCCAAGCCACCGCCTCCAACACCACCACCACAGACGGCTCTTCCGCCGCCAATTCAAACCCTAATGCCTCCACAACCACTGCCTCCGCCACAACCTCCTCCAACGCCACCACGTCCAAATCCCTAACGGACGAGCAAAACATCGACAAGCTCAACCTCCCCAAACAGGAGGTCGTTCGCCGACTCCGGCTCCTCAAGCAGCCGATCACTCTCTTCGGCGAAGACGATGACGCCCGGCTCGACCGGTTCAAGTACGTGTTGAAGGCCGGCCTGTTCGAAGTCGATAGTGACATGACGGAGGGGCAGACAAACGACTTTCTCCGCGATATCGCGGAGCTGAGGAAACGGCAGAAGTCGGGGATTGTGAGCGAGAGGAAGAGGCAGAAGACGGAGGTTGACGGCGGCGTGGAGGACGGCGACGGTGGCGTCCGCGAAGAGGATTTGAGTGCCGATGGATGCTCGAGCGGGGTCGATGCTGATAAGGATTTGAAGCGAATGAAGACGAATTTCGAGGAGTTGTGTGATGAAGATAAGATCTTGGTGTTCTTCAAGAAGTTGTTGAATGAATGGAACCAGGAGCTGCGGGAGATGCCAGATGCTGAGAGGAGGACTGCTAAGGGGAAGTCCATGGTTGCCACTTTTAAGCAATGCGCGCGCTATCTGCATCCTTTGTTCAAGTTTTGTAGGAAGAAGGTAGGTAAATTATTGCTTTTGATGCGTTAATTGTGTTTTGGGTTATGTTGTTTTAGTTCAATTCCATCACATTATCTGCAAATTCTAATTCATGACCATTATATTAAGCTGGGAAAAGCAATTCCGAACAATGCTGTTTGGTGTAAATTTCGCACATGAATGATCTTAGAATTTAAAACCCTGGTGCAAATTTTCTTTGGGTTATGTTGTTTTAGTTCAAGCACATTGAGCAATTCTAATTCATGAGTGGAATGGAATGTCTGCGTTAAAATCATCATCGGCATGATAAGAAGCTGGGAAAAGAAATTGAAAACAATGCACTTTGATGTAAATTTCTCACATGAACTGTCTTAGAACTTAAAATCCCGTTCTTTACTATTGTGTAGTACTCTTTGGATTGTGTTTTTTCGGTTCATTTAAGTGCTGGTTATGGATCATTGAATTGTTGTATTCTATTTGCAGATCCTTCAAGATGATATTCGCCAAGCGTTGATGGTGGTGGTGCGGTGCTGCATGAAGCGAGACTACCTAGCTGCAATGGACCAGTACATTAAACTAGCTATTGGGAATGCACCATGGCCAATTGGTGTCACTATGGTTGGTATCCATGAACGTTCAGCTCGCGAGAAGATCTACACCAACAGTGTGGCTCACATTATGAATGACGAGACAACTCGCAAATACTTGCAGTCAGTCAAGAGATTGATGACCTTTTGCCAACGACGCTACCCAGCCATGCCTTCAAAAGCTGTTGAGTTCAACAGCTTGGCTAATGGTAGTGACTTGCAGTCCCTACTAGCGTCGGAGAGGGCCTCTAGCGGAGGAAATCAGGCCTCGGAGGAAAAGCTTCTGATAATGCCTGCTCCATAGGAGAGCTAGTCATGTATACGATGATATTTTGTTGAATGATCTCATGTTTGAATTTAGAAAGCTTGCTTGTGTCATTTTATTTGTGTTATCCTTCTCTGTTTTCTTGGAAGAAAGAAGATAACGTGAGGAGCCCAAGCAATAAGATTTATTAGATTGACATTATTTGGGATGATATGAGAGATACAAAAAGAGAGAAATTTGGCACAACAGATATTCAATCAAAATCATTAAATCGATCTTCACTGATGGGATTTAACAACCTTCTGGCCGGTAAAACTAAGGTAGATTACAAACTTGCTAATTTGATGTTCAATCAAGGATTACTGGCTCTTCCCTAAACCAAAGGTGTCTTCAACACCATTGGTCACCCTGCTCCTCCGCTCAGCGATCATATCTGCATATGCCTGGAAAACGAAAGAAAACCCCAGAAAGTTCAATTAAAAAGAAAAGCAAAGCAACAAAAGAAGAAAAAACAATAAAACAGAGAATAGGAAGATGATGCCTACACCTTTGGGTAAGAATACAGAAAGATGTACCACCATGTGCTAATTAGTAAGGCTGCCAAGACTGTAATTACTACCGAGTTCAGAATTAGCCAGCTACCACCAATCACCAGCACTCCAGTCAGTGTAATTGTCCATGGCTGACACCTACAATCATCACCAATCACCAGAACCCATATGATAAATGAATGAAACATATATGCAGAAGAATCAAAATGGTTGCAAGCAATTGGATCCAAAATTGCTCATCAGATGGAACCAGAAAACAAGAAACTCCTTTTTCTTATAGATGGATACACACTGAAACTCAATTCCAACAGAGTCCACCAAACTATGAAGGAAAACTCAAATTTAAATTTACAGTTCTAACAAACGAGGAGGCCTTCAGAAACAGAAAGGATGGTATGTTGGAAAACAGGAAAACTACCCCAAACTTTTACACAAGAATACTACAGACGCCAAAAAACCCACGAATGAGGACGAACAGAAAAGGGGTAAAGAGTATTCATTCTGAAATAACAGTGAAAAATAATGGAGACCCAAGAAGGGAAGGCTCACCAGGATGGCTTTGTGTCCCAAACAGAATCATATTCAAGAGAAAGGTAGTTCATGTAGCCATCCATATCATCAACAACTCCGTTTTCATCCAAGAACTCAGACTCTTTTGGGTCAATCGAATTGCTGCCAAAGGCAACATTTTTGCTGCGAAGTCTTCTTGGCGTCGGATAAGTTAAAGAGACGAGTGGCCAGGAAACGGGGTTGCAGAGATGGGTTTGTGAAGAGGCCAGACGGGGGCGCAGTGGAGAGCAGAGGGAGAGAGGGAGGAGAGATAAAGTTCCCATTTTGTCATATTGTCAAGCAAAATATCTGTTTGCTATATAATAGTCCTTTGCTTAGTTTAGTTAGAGCTTTTGTTCGCTAACTTGGGCTGCGTCATATAACACAAGACCATCAACTTCGTATGGCACAACTTCGATTATGATACATTCATTCCTTTTATTAGTCAATTTGAGCAGATTAAAATGAATCATCTTTGATTACCGACAAAGGTTAACAAGTGCAAAAAGAAGGTTGGAAGTTATGAAACTAAGGTTTACAGCTCTATCCCAAATTAGATACTAATGTTTACAATTGGGGAAAATGATTGTTTATCTGAAAACTTCATGTTATTAAGTATCTTGAAACCAAATCCTGACAGTTCTATCATTTCCAAGAGCTGCAGACGCAATCTTATTTTCTGATGGATGACAGGAAACGGAGATGGCAGTATCAGAATGGCCTTCAAGTTTCTGCACCATAGTTTTCTGCTGAAGATCCCATAAGTAGACACAGTGATCCTCCGAGCCACTAACAATGTATTTACCATTTGTCACAGAAAATGTGGATGTTACGCAATACACGTTGTTCACATGACCTGTATAGATCTTCAAAAACTTCCCAGTTGAGTAGTTCCACAGCTTCTGCACCCAGGAAAAAATAAATTTGAAACTCACATATCAATTAACCACATCTGCTACAAAATTACGGAAACACTTAATCCATTCCCTATCTCTGATATTTAACAGGATGCACACGTTATAAACAAGCTCTGAGTCTGTGCTTAAGTCTAGAAGAACCATTCATCAAAAAGCAAATTACTCAACCCACCCACCCCATTAATCACAAATTGCATTGCTAATCAGCTGGAGCTAAAGAAAAATTGCAACCCAATTGAATAAGCATGCTTCTGATCACAAATTGCATTGCAAATCAGCTGAAACTCAAAGAAAAATTGCTACCCAATTGAATAAGCATGTTTATGGTCACAAATTGCAATCAGCTGAAACTCAAAGAATTGAATATGCATGCTTATGATCACAAATTGCATTGCTAATCAGCTGAAACTCAGAGACAAATTGCAACCCAATTGAATAAGCATGCTTATGATCACCAATTGGATTGCTAATCAAGTGAAACTCAAAGACAAATTGCAACCCAATTGAAAAAGCGTGCTCATAATCAATAAAAATCATAACTTTCAAGTAACCAGGAAAGGAAAATCACAACTTTCAGTTTGAGAATCAGAAAAACGAAGGAAAACAACAGAGGGTCTTTTCTTACGAGGGTGTCATTGAGAGTGGCGACGAGTATGAACTTGCCATTAGGCGAAAACTTAGCGAAGGAGACTGCAGCGGTCTTATCCTCAAGGAGCGTCTTCAAGCAAGTCCCTGACGCTGTGTCCCAAATCTTGCAAGACCCGTCGTGACTGCCGGAGACGATGAGCGACCCATCTCGATTGAAGTGCACGGAGGTCACAGGCAGCGAGTGAGCCCTGATGACGTGGAGGCACTTCCCCGTCTTGACCTCCCAAATACGAATCGTTTCGTCGAATGAGCCGGAGACGATGAGGTTGGACTGTGGATTGAAATTGACGCAGAAAACGAAGTTGGAGTGGCCTTTGAGGGTCTTGACGCACTCGCCGGCGGAGGTGCGTGCGTCCCAGATGCGGAGGGTGCGGTCATCGGAGGCGGAGCAGATGTAGTGGGAGTCGGAGGACCAAGCAAGGTCGGAGATGCCTTCGGAGTGGCCGACGAGGCGGCGGAGAAGAGTTAGGGCGGATGATGACCAGAGGATGACGGTCTTGTCGAGCGACGCCGAGGCCAGTAGGTTGCCGTCGTTTGAGAACTTGACGCACGACACGGCGTTTTCATGGCCGCGAAGGGTCTTGAGGTGGCGGTAGGGTCTATACGGCGGCGATGCTTGACCACTGCCACTGCTGGCCATCGTCCACAAATTATTACTTTGCCTAATTTCTCGCTCAACAAAATATGTGCTGCGTTGCGCGACTGACGAAGGAATTTTGTTTTAATGTTTAATTTGCATTATATAATGGTACAAGGCTTCTGTTCTGATGGCGGTTAAGTTGAGATTTTCTATAAAATGCCATTTATGTTTCCATACACACGGCATTCTCATTGTCAATTTGTCATATTGAATTGTGTCTGGTGATTCAAATCATCTACAACTAAAGGAATTTGACAGAGAAAAAAAAAGACATGGCATTAGTTTTTGATGATGATAAAATGATTTTTTTTTCTTTTTTCCATAGGGTTAATCATAAAAGTAATTGTGGGGATGACTGGATAAAGATAATTAAATTTTCATGTCATCCAATAGATTTTGCACGCATATAAGCTCTGCTGCTACAAGATCTTTTTAAATTTTAAATACAAAACGAAGTAAAGAGAGCTGAGAGCTGCGCCACCCACAATCCCATATGATAAACAGGGTGATATACAGCTAGAGGGAAACTCGAGGACTAAAAAGATAAAAGAAATGAGATAACAGGGCTTCAAGGGCTATTCTACTCATACTGGCAAGTACCGGGAGCCCACCACCGAACTTCACATATGAAACTGCGATGATACTGTGATCGCGGCGGCACACCAACTCCGTCCACAAGTCTTATTTACCGTTCAAATTTGTGCTGGCATCTCATATAGGCAACACTACAAATTTGTTAAGAGTATGCAGGATATATCAGTGGTGAACCTCTTCCAAATTATAATGCACCACGCATCATGTAAAGTCTAAGAAAAATAGATGAGGGAGGGAGAGAGGTACATGATCCATTTGGTGGCCACAGATTTCAATCCTTGCCATATTTGGTATTTTCTCCTACACAGCCACATAGTCTACCTCGTCTGAGCTTTCATCATAGATAACATAACCAGCATCTCGAGCATCCTCGTTGCCACTACCATGATCACTATTGTAACTGCTCTCGGAAAAACTCACAAACATTGAACCATCGGATGAAGGACTGCTCATCTGCGATGCTGATGGCAGACTGATATCACTATATGGCTCGCTGTCAAACATTTGATCAATGTCGGCGTAACTGCAAAACCATTCAGGATCCCAGACAATAATGATAAGCATATTTTCAATAGTTGAAAAAGTAAAACCATTTAAGTACAACAGTTGAAGAATAAGCAAACCTTCCTTCTGGCGGAAACTCCGCCAACAGACAGAGATTAGGCCTTTCTTCCAACACCCGCCTTATGGGAATTGTACTGCACAATATTGACAAAAGAATTTCAGTGGTAAAGTCTCTATGTGATACATCGGAAACCAAATATCAAATCCCACCTTCAGTAAGGGTGTTGGTTTAAGGGATGTGGGAGCTCTATTCCACTGTGTAACCCAACTACCCAACTGACAGAAAAATGAAAAATAACTGTATTCCTTACCTTGTGCTGTAGCATCTATGATACCAGTCATTCTCGGATGCCAAGCCTTCTCTATTAGATATATCCTGTTTGAGGAAATAGGAAAAGTGAGCATCATTCTGAGACCTAGAACTTCATATGCAAGCTTACACAATAAGAATATGATGAATTTCTATCAACCTACAAGATGTTTAAGGAACTTGAAATCCCCAGCAAGAACTGCCGTCATCAACCGAGCAGCCTCCACCTTCAAATCACAATTTAGGTTTCAGAGAGAGAGAGAGAGAGAGAGAGAGAGAGAGCACAAAAGTAGAGGGACAGCTTGAAGTCATCACCATTTTGAGATGCATGCAATCACGCAAAATTAAGACTTCCAGCAGATTCCCACCTGTGTTGCTTCCGAGGTTCCTTGAAATAAATAAATAAATAAAATAAGTCTATGATACAGAGATTTTAAAAGAAGTCTCGTCCATTAAAGATAACTGACCTTAAAAATGCTCCAGTGATTGAGTAGGATGTTGAAAAATCAACATACTTTAATTTCCTCAATCCCTGAACAAGTATCCAGATATTAAACTTCGCAGTCATGACTGAAGGCAAGATGATTCACCAAATTGGGACCAATTTTTGTATTCACATCACTAACCAAAGACATCATCCAGGGGATACCAATTACAGGAACAAAAATGTAAAATACATCAAACAATAGATAAGGAATCCCAAAAAAAGCATTGTCAAAGGTATTAATATGTCTCCCAGACCTTTACTATTATGCTCAGGTATAAAGGAATGAAGACAATACGAACATTGAAATATTAGAAAATAATAAATAAGACTTTTTTGACCAAACCAGATAACAAAACATAAAAATCCAACTTGATAACTGATAAGACAAGTCATAACTGTAAAGTAAAATTTTGACTCTCCCTCTCTCTCCATAATGTTATGAATGATTCTACTATAACCAAATATATATATATATATATATCGGACTTGGGTGTGTTGTTTCTCGAAATGCCCAAGACATACCTTCAGAAGTATACGAACTTTATAATCATGCAACTTAAATCCTCTGAGGGCCAGTGACGTAAGATGAGGGCAATCAGTCATAAGATCAACACAAGTTGGTGATTTCAAACTGTCGTCTCTACCTGATATTCGTCAAATACATGTGTAAGAATAAATTCTGACAACATAAGGCAGGCTTCCTCATGAAGAAGTGCAATACCTGTTTTTGAAGATTCAAAGAACAGACGCTCTATCAAGTGACAGTTTGCACTCACAGATTGCAATGTTTGCCTCAATTCAACATGACTGTAGATTGCACGAAATGATAAATCGTATAATCCAACATACAAGATTGCACAAAAACAAAAATTGAACTTACAGGCCAACAATTTCCAGATCAAGGAGAAATGGACAGGCCACTAATGCCCCACAAAGTGACGTATTATCCATCCTTTCAATATTGTAAAGGTGCAACCTTCTCAAAAGAGTCCTTACAAGAAGCAAAAGAAGGCGTAAGAAAACAAGTAAATTTCACAAACAAAATTTTCAAGTCTTACAATTCAAGCATACCCTGGAGCACCACTATTCCCGCCTAAAGGGCTTAAACAGGATCTGGTAAGAACAGATGACTCCTTCCCTTGCCTGGATCTCTTATCATTCCATGAAAAGTTGGAAACATCTACAGAATTCCTGATGGTATAAACTAATGGCTGACAAGATCCAAGCGGCGTAGTTGGGCCTGGAACTACACCAAGCTTAAGAGACCTGAATAAGCAATTAAGAGAGACAAAAAGAAAGGCAAATGTTATGAAAATGAGAATATCATATGCCAATGCAATATCAAAATGAGAAAGCATAAATTACAAGATTACAACTGCCAACTACAGAAATGCACCAGAGTTTTCACTTGACACAAATATTCGAGATTGTTAAGATTAAAGGACTAGTTGGGTGAAAAAACTCTTACTGAAGAGCTTTCCCAGCTCGTTGAATCATTGTGGAAACAACTGCATTGTTAACTTTTGGGACAACTGTTGTCAAGTCAATATTGGCATAGCAAGAAGGATCCATGGCACATTTATTGAACATTGAACAAGTAGCTGCAGCATAGCATAGGCTTTGTGTATCAAGCATGGAAAAGACCTGCATATCAGCACATATACTCAGATAATGCACACACTTCCTATCTAAATGTTTAAGGATAAAGTAGTTCTGGCATGCACAAAAATGACGCACTAAATATTGATATTCTCGCAGAACAATGACAATATACCAGCCTTAAGCATTATGCCAATGCAGATGATAAATTTCAACATTGAAAATGACCATATTCTGTAAGAACACAAATCATAAACATTAAGCAACATGCAGATTAGTGATCAGAAAATTAAACACAAAGCAATAATACCAAGCAACTAAAATGCAACTCCGAAATCTTCAGATACACAAGCCCCAAATCGAAAACAAACACGAAAGGAAAACAATAACTCTTCCAAATCGAGCGGCGAAATCAAAAAAATTTGCACAATCAGACCCCACTCAATTGGTATTCACTTTCGTATGAGTCTGATCTTGTTCGTCACAACAAAACCGAGACGTACCTTGATGGTGAGGTCGGGAGGGAGGGCCCAGGTGAGAGAGTTGTGCTTGGAGGCTCGTTTTCTCGCAGAGCGCTTAGCAGCCTCGAGAAGCACAGAGCCCAATTGGAGAGCGCGATCGATGAGCTTGGTCTGATCGGCATCGCAGGACCTGGACTCGAGAAGCCTCTCAAAAGAGAGGTCGATGGCGAAAGGGGGCGAGTCAGAGAACTCGAGAAATGTGTCCAGAAGCTGATCCCTGTCCAATTGGTTCAGGTTTGGGATTCTAGGGTTTTGGGAGGGGCAGGGTCGCTTGGCCATTGATGACGGGCTGTGTAGCAGGGTATCCATAGCGGGTGGTTTATCAAAGCCGAGTGCTTTTGGAGGTTGAGAGATACGGAGTTGGCGTTCGGTGCCACGTGTGCGTGGTGTGTGTGTTGGGAAGATTAGTGCCGTGGTGACGATATCATAACCCCTGCAACTGACATGGGGTGTGTAACTGCATCCTATGCCAAATTGCTGATGGATTCTTTTTTTCTTTTTTATAATTAGTTTTTATTTGGTACAATTATTAAGTTTTAATTATACAAATGAACTTTTAATTGATCTGAAAACTTTAAATTTTAAAATTATATATTAACTCAGATTTTCTGTTATCAGTTTAAATATTATTAATTTTATATAATAATGTAGCAAGAGATGGGATTTCGTACTACCTAGTCTCATAACAAAAAATTAATTATTAGAAATGACTACTATGTTTTGATTTTGTTATTACTATAAATTCTGCTCACCATCTCTATAGTTGGAGAAGAACTTACATATAACGAGTATTCCACCGTGGCAGTATCCAAAGCCCCTCACTCATTGTCAAGTTGGAAAGTTAAAACACACGACAATAAGTGATTGGCTTGAGATAGCCCCGAGATGGCATCCTAGGTATATGTAAGTTTTTCTCCCACAGTTGACTCATCCTTCACTTGATGTTTTATCTTTCGTTATTTTATACATTATCTTCTTCTTTTTTTGGTTTTTTTTAGCAACTTATTTTGATGACTTAAAAGCTCAAAAAATAGTATTAAGCCAGCTGAAATTTGCCTATTAAGGGTGGGCGCGGTCTGGTCCAGTCTAATTTTCATCTCAAATCGAAATCGGAACTAAAACTATTGAATCAGTCCGATTTTAGTAATAAAAAAAATTATAAAACCAATCAGTTTGGTTTGAACTGATTTTGGTCCAATTTTCGGTTTTTCCAGTTTTGGACCGGATTATTATTATTATTTTCAAATTATTTGTTTTAAATACAAATTCCAACTAAAATTTTAATGTTTGAGCTTGAAAATTTACAAATGATCAAATTTCATGCAAAGAGAGATGTTTGGCCTAGAAAAGAGAGATGTTTTGAAGTTGAGCTTGAGGAGATATTAGTTACGATATTAAACATATAGCATTGGATTTAAATAATTTTGTAAAAAAATAAAAATATACAAAACCAGTTCGGTCTGGCCTGGTCTAATTTGATAAGGTGTGAAATTGGAATTAAAACCGATTTAAATTGGTTCAGTCCAATTTGATGCTGGTTTGTTGACTTTTTTTCATTCTATGCAACTCGAAGTTCGGTTTTCCGGTCTTGATGCCCATAAAACAGAGGCATTTTGCATTAAACGAGAAATAGCGAGACAAGTGCAATACTCACTTTCTTGCATTTGGGCATCTACAGGCCATTCTCATTCTTGAAGAAAACATCAAACACGCAACATTAAAGTTGCCGTTCTTCTCCAACAAAGTCAAGTATCATTATTAAATTAGGAGACTCAATCAAACCAACTACTCAATTTTAATTTCTTTAGTAAAGAGATGGGAAGAGGGTTGTTTCAGACAATTGCACCACTAATCAAACTTGCAAAAGATTTCCTGAACATGCATTGTTCCTGCAATTGAATTATGTTTTGATATAAGAAAACTAGAGAGACAAACAGCACATACAATCAAAACCAGAACTTTCAAGTATTTATAAAGGCTCAGAACGATGAAAAACAAGCTTCTGGTTTTTTTCAGTTCTCTATTCATTCTTCCAAGCATGCAAAACCAGTGAAAAGCCAAGACCCTGCAACTGGTTATCTCTTAATGGCTGAGAGGAAGACCAAGCCAACACAGAAGGATCCAAAACTGGTGGACTGGTCCAGAACTTGTTGTCATCACTGAGGCAAGTTTGGAACATGAAAACTGCATTGCCCATGGCATTGCCAAAGAGCCAATTGTGAACATCCCAAAACACTTCAATTCTCAGCCCATCAACCAAAATGGTGTGGTTGCCTCTGAACTTCCAATTCAACCTCTTCACCTGCATCACCATCTTACTGTCAATGCAGATCACAAGGTATGGCTCATGGAGCCCAACAGTCTCACATTCAATTGTCACATCATGGCTCTTCCCCTTATCACAAAACTGAGCCTTTGCGCCATAAAATTTCTTCCCAAAAATGTGCTCTCTTTTGGCAATGAAAATGGCTCTGGAAATGGAACCAACAGGGTCTTTGTTGAAAGCTTCTCTCTTCAAGTCCCCAAGAAAAAGAACCATTTCTTGGTTAAACATAACAGCTAAATAGAACTTCTCTAATGGCTCAGGTCCTGAACCAAACTTAGCATTGGTTAAGTCCCAATATATATCAATTTTACTGGTGTCCACTTCTAAATTCCTGCACCCTTTTCTCTTGGAGAACAACCATGGCTTGATATCAACCTTGCAGATGCACTGATTGGCTGCATCGTCAATTTCAATGCTTAGGCCTTGACCCATCAAATTTTTGGTCCATGTCACAGTAATAAAACACAAACGACCCTGTAATTTACACTGGTAGACACAAGAAACCAAGTTCTGAGCAATTTTTGTGATTCTTGATGATGATGAAGAAGAAGAATCAGCAACTTGAACACCATTTTCACCAAAACAAGAAGGAAAGTCCCTCATCATAACACCAACAAAGATGACTAATTTCTTTCTGGTTCTTCCTAGTTTGGCTAAGAATTTGAGGTGACAAGAGGGAATGCAGGCAGCATAAAAATTGGTACACAGAGAAAGGGGCTCCTACCTGAAAACTGAAATGAACTTACGCGCCCATCATTCAGATGCTCCAAGAGCAGCTTCAAAATGCTTCGGTTTTATCTGGGTGTCTGCTTTTTGAGAGAAAGGAAGGACCTTTGAGATTTTCAATTCACTGCCAATGTTTGAGACCACTTCAACTCAAGAAAGAAAGACCCAAAATTTAGATAAAGAATTTTAAAAAGTGATTTTGATAGAGAAAAGATGGGCAGTGGAGAGGGAGAGACCTCAAAGGAACTGATTGGAAAGAAAAAGAAACGGGGTCTAAATATGAAAAGAAACGTCAAAATTGCAAACAGGGTATTTTGCTGGAAAGGGCAGGTTTACATATTACGTTACACAAATGCCCAAAGGAAAAAAAAAAGTATCTCTCATGGGCAATTGGGCACTCTTTCTTCTTGTCCATAATTAAAAGAATCATACTGGGGCCCTCCCTCTTTAACTGACATTACACATGCATTGCATTTTAGAGTTTAAAAAAACACAGAGAGTGCAACCACAAAACACAGAAAAACTTTCTTGGGGATAGCAATACGTCCATTAATGCAATGACATGTAAAAAAGTTATCCCGTGTGTCATTGCGCTATTGATTGGGAATAGTACAAATAGTTTTATTCCCGTTGCATAAAAGTCTCTTTCCTAAAAACACTAAATTTTGAAAAAAAAATTCTTTGCTATTGAGTTTTTTATATAAATAAATAAATAAACTTTTCCATAATTTGGTTGTGTCACCTTTGTCAAGTGAGACAAAGAAAGTTTCTTTAGCAGCAATACAATGCAACAAATTCAAAGTTGTTTTCCCCTAAAGTGGAAAAGAAACAGACAACATTATGCGAAATTTACATGCTTATAACAAATGGGCATCTACTTGATGTGATGCATTAGCTCTCACTCACAGTGAAAAGCACAATCATATGGGTTTTTATTTCACATCACAACCTATCTTTATTTCTTACTGTGTAAAATGCATCTTCCTTGTTTTGGGTATATGGACTTTTTTCTGTTTTCATCTGCATCAACATAGGTTCACGCCTTCAACCATGTTAGTAGTAGCCCATATCAATGTGTTATAGAAATGCATAAGAAGAATGCTACGGTGCAGGCATGAACTGATTCTAGCCGTTGATGTTTCGTGAATTTCACATACATTGACGGTCAAGATCTCTCTGTGCGTGGGAGGTAGACCCTAGCAATACTCCAATACCTAATTGCTTACTTAATAGGACTAGGATATGACAATGGAGGAGGGTCTAGCAGACTAGGACAGTGAGACTCTAGCTAGGCGCATGGACGTGGAGTTGTAGACGCGGTTACCTTTGACCAAAACCAGAACTTAGTTGTCAGAGGAGACCAAGCCTTCCCTAATGTTGTGTGGTGACAAACTCTCCCCATCTTCATTTAGACCAAGAATTCATTTCGCTTTTTTAGTACATATCTAAGGCCTAAGATTACACAATCCACTATGGTCGTCTCTCTTTCTTTTTAGTGCACATTTTGGTTGGTAGGAGCAGAGTCCATTATATTATAATCACAATTATGCATGTTTGATGTTTTTGTATTAGTTTTCAAAGTTAGGAAGGGGTAGGGAGTTTTCTCGCACACACTGCCAAGGTAAGATCGAACCCGAGACCAAGACTGCAAGTCAAAATCCCTTTCCAATTGGCTTTTTTTTCTGAAATTGTCGTATATTTATAGTGCTGTTATTTTAAGCAAAAATATTATGTCAATGTTCTTGCTGAATACATGATGTTTAGGTAAGATAAGATATTTGTGAGATTTAGGGTCTCACCAGGACCCAATTGACTGTCATTTTCTGTCATCAATTGTTAATTATGAAAATCTTTTCTTGACAACTTGAAGATGGGTTTTTGCCCCCACCTTGAACAAACTGATTGAAGTAACCTACTCTAGATTATGGTCCATAATTTATGGATGGTCCTACACTGAAGTTGGCAAAAAAGAAATGATAGACCAGGTTCTGAGATTGACAAATTCAAAGCTTAACAGAAAATTAATATGCTGTCTGCACTCAATTTTCATCTTACTTAAGAGAGCAGCAATTTTTATTTATGAGAAAGCTATCATTCTGATTGACAATTTACACTCTCTCTCTTCTCATCTGACTTCTTCTATAGATCATGCGTGTCGAAAAGGGATTCGAGAAGGTTTGATTGCATGTCCTCCTCAAGAGTCAAGATAAAGGTCGTCTATCGAAAAGAAAGATGTAGGGCATTCCTGCAGCCTGAACAGCTATCACCTTTAAACCAAATGAAAAAAAAGATGTAGGGCATTCAAGTTTGTATCTTTCTTACTCTAATGAACACTTCATGGAGCATGCAAGCCATTTATAATATCATGCATAGCTGGAGAAACATATGATTATAAGTCAGTGTCACCCACCAGAATACAATTGACCCAGACAAAATTGCATGCAGCAAACTCTTGGGTACATTTGAATCAGCCAGAGTTTACACTGTCCAGAAATTAGGATCACCAAAGCTCAAAGAAATCCCACTCCAAATCTTCTGGATTCTAAAAGGTTCTGGTAAAATGCTCAGTTCTGTAACTTACAAGTTGCGCTCACATCCTTCTTGTCACCAGATTGCTGAATCATTTAGGCTCTTTCACTTCTGTACATACTGCTTCTCACTGTATAGCAAGTGTGTGTTTGCTGTGCATGGTATGCTACTTGGCTCTGCTTGAAAAACGATGGAAGCGCAAAAACACCACCTAATACAAGCATTCAGAGACATCCAAAAAGAAGAATGCCAAAGCAAATACAGACACCGGAATATACCCACTGAATCTAAAAAAGAGAGTACATTGTTCAGATTCAAATAGACCTATGAAAAAGACTCCACCATCGTCAAATACAGGGGGTGATGTTTTCCAAATTTTCTCATATCAATATGGTTACATCAAGGTTTACTGCAATTGAAGAAGGGTGACTACCCTCAACATGAAATAAGACTGAAAGCACACCCAACTACCTTTCACCATCAAATCATCATCTCCATCTCTCTTTCTTTGTTTCTGTCAGAGTTAAGACAAACAGAAAATCATACAGTTGAGAATTGATTATAGAAAAACTATATAATTGATACAATAGGTTTAAAGAAATCTAATTTCATATCAGTCCAATACTGATTTGAACGACATTGTTTCCTCCTCTGAGTCCCAGCAGAGAGTTGGAGACGATTTCGAAGCCTGCACCACAACCAAAGCCGGTGACATGAGTTGAAACAACATAAAAGAAGCAAAACAAAACAGAAAAATGAAAACCGGAGAAAGCAGAGATGAAGAGGAGAAGCAACTGAAATACATATGAACTTCACCTAAATAAGACTCATGATTTTGCGTATTTTTATACAAAGGAACTCTTACTTATGCTTCCTCCTCCAGGAACAAACGAAGTGAAGCTTCTTTTTTACACTCTATGTACCTGCAAATAGAAAAAGAAATCAATTAAGAATTAAGTTAAAAACACGTTATTGCATTTGTTGACAGTAAGACCAAAATAATCACCCCAACAAAACAAGGGTTAGAGGATGGAAAAATGGCTTCTTGAGCTGGTTGGAGGAACTGTAATGCGCACACAAAACATATTACTCTACACAATATTCATATTATTGCCATGTACCAGTATTGAAAAACAGAGGAGTTCCAACTGAGACATATAGTTATTAAAGATAATTAAAATTCGACAGAAATTCAACATGCATACAAACCCATATTTTTGAAGGGGAATTCTAGCGGGAGTTTAATTTGTATGATGTCCAAAATGATACGATAGATTTAAACTACGGTTCACCCTTTATATTTTAAAAAAGAAAATGATATACTTTTGAATTTTAAATAGTATCGCCGCGCGGCTATACTATTAAAATATTAGAATATATTAATTTAACGAGTATCGCCGCGCGGCTATACTGTTGAAATATTCTAATATATTTATTTAAACAGTATAGCCGAACGGCTATACGCTTTAATATATTAAACGCGTTTAGCCGTGCGGCTCTACTCCTTAAATGTTCGAATTTATTAAACGGGTATAGCCGGCGGCTTTACTGTGAAAATATTTTAATATAGAATAATACTAATTTTACCACATTTTTTATACCACAATTTTATAACACATGATGTGGCAGCTGATGTGTATATACCACATCATGTAAAATACTAGTTTTTGTTTTTCTAATTTTATTTATTAAAATACACTTCATTCATTTAATTGATGTGGCATATGCCACATCATGTGGTATAGAAATGTGGGATAATAATGTGGTAATATATTTATTTACAGTGTATAGCCGTGCAGCTATACTGCTTAAATATTCGTATTTATTAAAGGGGTATAGCCGACCGGCTATACGTTTAAATATTTTAAACTTAAATATTCGAATTTATTAAACTGTTATAGCCGGGCGGCTATACAGTTTAAACATTTTAATATATTGGCCGCTTTTTAAATATTCTAATTCATTTAGCGCGGCCATATTATTTATATATTTTAATATATTTAACGAGTATAGCCGCGATGCGAAACGGTTTAAACATTTTAATATATTGTTAAATGTTCGAATTTATGAACAATAGTATAGCCGCCCGGCTGTACTGTTTAATTATTATAATTTATTAGAAGAGTACAGCCGCGCGGCTATACTGTTGGAATATTCTTATATATTCAAGGAGTATA